TGAATTCTGAAATTATGTTTTCTCTTCGTAATAGATTTAAGAAAAATACTCCAAACCAATCACATGATTTACATTTATATTCAAAGAAAACATATATTAGTGACTTTACTTTTTCTAACTCAAATCACAATTTGAATGATATGAACCTTCAATCTAGCAAAATACTTTGTAATAATCATTAACAACTTGATTATGAATATACCAATATTCAACAACTTGAGCTTACTAGTAACTAAACTTATACTGATAATGATAATCAACAATTCAGTAATAGCAATTGAAATTTCAGCTCTATGCTTAGCAATAATATGGAATATGATTAGGAATTTAATAATAACTCAGATTACAATGAATATGAAATAGAATATAATTGGGAGTTCAACAACAACTCAGATCTAGAAAATGAATTAATAACCAATTTAGATGATTTACTCAGAACATTTGATAGTACAAAATCTGATATAGGTTGGGATCAAGAAAGCCTATTTGGACTCTTTAAAAATTTTACAAATTTAGTAATGTTTATATAGGCTACTAAATATATGATTTGTAGGTATTTTGTAATATTTATTATAAAATGCATCTGTGGCAGTTAATTTGCTAGTTTTTGAGATATTAAATACATTAAAAAACTTAATATTTTATTTTGTTTTTTCTTTAGCAACTGCAGCCTACTGAGACTTAATACAAATCTTAATTAACTCTCAATTTGATCCAAAACATTTAACTACTAATTTACAAACTCTTAAAAAGCAATGTAAGCAATTACTGTTAATGAAAATTCAAAGCTATATTATTCTAATAAATACCAAAAATACACTATTGACCATGAAAGATTCTGCTCAAGTCTACTATTTCTCTTTAATTGAACACCTTCAACGTATCTTAAAAAATCCTTTTCTTAGTTCACAATTGTATTTTGGACCAGGTGTATTTTCAAAATCATGTGAAGAACTATGGGAAGGTAATCTCTGAGCTGAATTACCTCTCTTTGGCCAACCAAATTTAGTTACTACACAAGGTTCATGTTTATATTATATTTGTTATGCTATTTACAGCTAAATCTTCAATTAATATCAATATGCATAGTTACAAATAATTCATAAAAGTTGTTTAATTTCGGGTGTAGTTGAATAGGAGGAAATGATATTAACCAAAGGTTTAATTTCAAATAGACTTATTTAATATTATATTTACAATATATTATATTTAATATTATATTTACAATATATTATACTGTATAATTTATTTAATATATTTAGGTTCATTTAATTGTGGAGATTTTGTTCAGTATTCAACTTCAAATTCTATTGAAGTTGGTCAAATTAGATCTTTTGTTATTGATGATAAAAAAATTGTATCCCAAATTCAAAGATTATTCTCATATAAACAAATTCTGCAATATCTACGTTCAAAACAAAACTCATCATACTCACAAAAGGAAAGATATTTAGTAGAGGAATTGGAATCTTTTATTATTGACCTATCATTATTAATATGTTATATTAATGTTTGGCTTAAAGACCAACCTGAACTACCTGTCATTGACTTTTTTGTAAATAAAATTTTATACAAATATAATAGCAGGTAGAAGTTTCATCCAATAAAGTTACATTATAAACACCTATCAGAAACCACACAACCATCTAATTCACCAGAAAATATGCCAATTTTCAAGTTTTATCTAGATTTATATTATGACGATTTTGGTATATTTCATAATACCTATCATTCTTTAGGTAGCGTATACTTACAAATTGGCAATATGCCAAGACAATTAAGAAAACAATTGCATAATCATTTATAGTTGGATTGGTGCCCTTTGGAGGTGAATTTAAAAACTTTATTAAAGATTTTATTAAAGAGGTCCAGCAACTTGAGCAAGGTTTTGTTATGAACATAAATGGTATAGATTGTTGGGTTTCAGGTGAGTTGGCAATGGTTATAGCTGATCTGCCTCAGGGAAATGACATTCAGGAGTATTGTGTCACAATACTAATCTTGGATGCTGAAGTTGTAAAGCCTCTAAAAATGACTTAATAAATATTACATATGATATATATTATAATAGCAGATACCATAATATAACCAACCAAGAATATAAAATAATAAATGAACAATTCACTAATTCAGCTCAAGCCCAACTCTGTTCACAATATGAGTTATGATCATTACCAGGTCTACTAGATTTAATTATTCATGATCGCCATTAACATATACCACAAGATGTATACTATGCCATTGCAGATAAGATTGCGTGACTTCTAGACTGTACCTGTTCAATATTAACATTACAAAGTGAAAATAATTTAGTGAAATACTAGAAATATTTTGAAGTTCCTGAAAGATATACACGTTTACCAAATTTAATAACTCATAGATATTCATTTATGATGTCTAACATTTTACGCCTTTTAATGATACTTCCATTTATTTTAAAATAATTTTTAACAATTAGCGACATTAAGTATAATTATTTAGATGAAACAAAAACTCAATTAAAACTTCGTCAAAATAATATTATAAATTCTTTAATTCGAACTTGGGAATTATGTGCAAAAGTTAGTAAAAATATTTTTTTATTATCTATTGATAGATCAGATAGATATTCTCAACTTCAAAAAATATTAGATAAAGAATTTAATGTATTAGTTGAGGTAATTTTATTTTATTTACTTATTTATTTATCATTATATGTTATTATTTTTGATTTTTAATAATAATATTATTAATGATATACTATGTATTCAAGTTATTTCCAGATAGTTTTCAAAATCTTCCAAACCTTCATATAAGTCAACACATAGTAGATAATGCATACCAATATGCAACATGCACTAATACAGCAGTTGGTACAAAAGAAATAGTGCATAGAATTTTCAAGTTAATTGTACCACATACAAACAAAAAAAATCTTGAACTTAACTTGTTGAAACAAGTTAATACTTTACAAATATTAAGATACTTAGCTGATGGAGGAATAGATGACTGTATAGAAAATACTACACCAAAATCAATATTTAGAGATCTAATTATTGAACTATAACTACACCACTTACTTTCAGGTTGGTGTATTGATAATAATAACTTGTTAATACATGCATTACAAGAACTTGATCAAGGTAATTATTTTTATTTAGTATTAAATTATATCATATTTAAATTTAATAAAAATTTCAAAATACTTTTTATAATATTAATTTTAATATATGTACTAATTAAAATTTATTAGATAATCTTACTGATATTAGTAGCTTCTTATATTTCAATTGTTTTGAAATCAAACTTGGATCAAAATAGAATAAATATAAAATTGAAAGTGCTGGATTTATTTCTGATAATCTTGAAACTAACAGACTTTTAGAAAGCTTTATGTAAGTATACTCTTCATATTTTTCTATAGAACAAGTATTATTAAAAACAAATATTAGATTTTTTTAAAATATTTCATATTCAATAGTTGAGTCTAATAGCAACTATCAATATATAAAATTTTGTATTGGTGAAGCAGTAAAAACTACTTTGTTAGATAATGAACAACTTGCATTTGGAATTGTTAAAGTGATAATTGAACATACATGAAATAACAATCAAGTTTATATATTTATTTATTTAGAATAGTTAGAATATCTTAATAAATTTAATGATTTATTAGGTTGTCCTATTTATCGACTTCAACATATCAATAATAATTCTTGGAATTGAATTCATCTAATTTCAATTATATCAAAATCACCAAATATTCTATTCGTTCACAATTGTAAATTAGAATGCTCTCCTTAACAACATGATGAAACAAATAGAGAATATATTCAAAATGACTTTTTTTTTATGGCTATCTAAGAGTTCATATTTACAAATATTTCAAAAAAATAAATAATATAAATATGAAGAATTTTTTAAAGAATTAATGTTTTGTTTATATTTTTTTATTAGAGTAAATTAGATTTGAAACATTATAATGAAGTACAGAAATATTCAATGAAAAATAATAATATATACAATTTAAATAAATTTTTAATTATATTAAATATTATATTAAATATTAGATTAAAAACTCTTTCCCGTACATCACATTTTACATATAAAATTTTTTTGTACAAAAAAGAAAAAGTTTACCGGAAACTACTAACTAAATAAAAATTCTTAAAGAAGGGCAAACACAAAC